AGTGAAGGTCACAGAAGACGGGGACGGCAAAGGACGAGATGGTTAGACAGTGTCATCGACGCAACGAACATGAAATTGAGCCAACTTCAGAGGATGGCAGAAGACAGGAGGGCCTGGCGGGAGCTGGTCCATGGGGTCGCGAAGAGTCGGACTCGACTGTGCAACTGAACAACAACAATCCTCCTTTGGGGAACTGGAATTCGAGGGGTGCTTCAGAACCACAAAGGAGTAGATGAGGGGAAATTTGGTCCCCCGTCATGATTTGGGTGGGTGACCCTCCGTGGCCGACTTCTGAACCAGAGCGGTGAGCTTTGAGAGCAAGTCTGATGCAGTGGGGAGGACCGGGGAGAGCTGGGTCCAGGTCTCTGCTCTCCCATAAAGTTGGCTTGATGACCGTGGGACCAGACACGTTTTCTCAGCTCATCCAGCTTCGCCGGGGCGTGCAGGACGAAATGGAGGAGAGGAAAGCCACGGATGCCTTCGGTCTGATTCACAGGGAGGAGGATGTGTTAATATTGAGCCAACAGAAGCAGATTTCCCCGTAACAATTTGGTACCGGAGGCACAGAAGGAAGACTTGCCAGGTTCGGGGCGTCTGGCTTTGGCCAGCTGAGAGCTCTAATCGCGGGGAGAAACACAGGGTACAAATGAAGTCGGTAAATGAAATGAATCGATAATTGGCAGTTTTCAATTTTGTTTTAGGCTTCCAAGGAAGGAGGAAGCTCAGTAGTTGCTTTAGGACCGGGGGTGGGGGCTGTCACCAAGCAGGCAACTCACAATCCGTTGAGCTGGCCGAGTTTTCCTCTCGCTGCGCCGCTGCACTTTGTAATGCCAACTCCAAAACTGAATCGGCAGGCCAAGCTTTCCTGGCTTGAAGGTCCTGAAATGGAAAGAGACACAACCCGTGTGCTGAAGTGTAATAATGGCAGAGGAGTAAGACCAGTTTTTGAAAGGTGGCCACCTGCCCTCTGCCTCTTGTGGGTGATGCTGTTTCAGTTGAGTTGCCAGCTGTTAAACCAGCCCTAGGAAAAGCCCCTTTTACTGCAAGGGACAAGTCATCAGAGGTCATTTCCTGCCAGAGCATGGCGGAGCAGCGCTCCGGCAGTAAGGAGCCTGGGGCGTCCCCCCCCCCACCATTCCCGGCCCACCTACGCAGGCAGATGGGCCAGGGAAGGCTTGCAGAGCCCCACGCCGCCTGGGGGGGATTTAAATGCCTTTCTTAAATTTAAATGTATTCTGCATATGCCTGGGTTCCCTGTCCGATCTCCTCTAGAGAAAATCGGGCAGGGAACGCAGACATGTCTGCCTCCCTCCCTCCCCTTCTCCGGCCAGCCCACTGTGGCGAGGTGGCTGGAGAAGGAAAGGGGAGGCGGGCAGACATGCCCCCCCCTTTCCCCTGAGCCTCTCCACTTTTGCGGAGAAACTCGGGGGGGGGATTTAAATGCCTTTCTTTACCTTTCCCCAGATGAGAAGATCAGGCAGGGAACCCAGGCATGCTTGCATGCCTGCCCTTTGTCAGGGGGTGTGGCATATGCAAATTAGTTATGCAAATGAGCTCATACGCCTCTTTTTCTATGAAAGGACCCCTGCAAGTGATCATTTTAGCTCCCTGAATCTGAAAGCAGAAGTCACCTTTCAGCCGGAAAATAAATCCCCCCCCCCCCGGTACATAAAAACCTAAGATCCTCCTTGTCAAAAGGGGTTAGTTTTGTGCACTGCATCAAGCATACGTTTTCCATTTCTCCTCCTGTCCCTGCAAATATCATCACCGTGTTGTGTCTGTGTCACAGTCCATCTGGATTTGCTTCAAAGGGCATTCTGCTCCAGTTGGATGCAGGAACGAATTTGTCGCTGCCTGGAGAGATCCAGCACCCCATCCTGTGGCAGTGAGTTCCCCACGTCCATTCTGTATCTGAAGAAAAGGAGTTCTCCCCCCCCCTCCCGGTCTCTAAACTCCTGCCCATCAACTTCATTAGGTGCCTCGGAGTATTTGGAGACAAACTCCTCTATTTTCAGTATTGCACCCCACAAGCCATCTTATAAACCTCTCTCACGTTCCTCCCATCCCTTAGTCCTCTGCGCTAGAAACCAGAAAAAACCCTCAGATGATTTAGCCTTTCCCTGTGGGGAGGGTGCTTCACCCCCTCAATCTATTCAGGTTGCCTGTTTCTGCGCCAGTACCAGTTCTGCCACATCCTTTCTGAGTTCCGGTGAGCAGAACTGTACACCGAGCCCCTAAAGATGGCCGCACTGTGGATCGGCCGCATTCCAACACTGCCTGTCCTATTTCCGACCCCTTTCCTAATGATTCTGATCCTACGGTTTGCCATGATGTCCCTCTGATCCTTCCCCCTATTTGCTCGCTCCTTTTTTTGGCTGGGTGTGTGTGGTTGTGTGTGTGTGTGAGTGACCTGGCAGGATGGATATTCCTAGATGATTATCTCTCCTCCACGAACCAGTTGGTACCAATCAATCTCTATCAGCCGTGACGGTGGAACAGAAGCATAAACCCATAAGCTGCGGACTGGCAGCCTCCAAAGGGTTGGATTATAGATTAACACCATTGAGATCATCAGAGAAATTACAGCTGGGGGTGGGAGGGGTGGGGAGAGAGGTGCACGGTTTTGACGACGGAGGACACTGCGTTACACTCAGGTAAGTGCCGACGACCGGAGACCTTCTTAAAAGTCCGGGCCCGAGGGTAGAAGCACCTGTTGCTCCGCCGTGTGGTATTGGGGTTCCGACAGCAGCCGGGAACGAGCACGAGGGCTTTGTTATCCCGAAAAGAGATGGAAGGGACAGAAGAACCACAGCATGGATGTGGTATGCAGTCTCGTCTGGAGCCTGGTGCCTGGTTCTGTCACCTCCAGTTAAAGAAGCTCAGGTATTAGGGAGACAGTTCTGTGTTGGGAGCCAGTTTGGTGTCGTGGTTAAGTGCGCGGACTCTAGTCTGGGAGAACCGGGTTTGATTCCCCACTCCTCCACTTGCACCTGCTGGATGACCTTGGGCAAGCCATAGTTCTGTCAAGAGCTGTCCTTGAAAAAGAGCAGTTTCTGTCAAGAGCTCTCTCAGCCCCACCCACCTCACAGGGCGTCTGTTGTGGGTGAGGGGAAGGGAAAGGAGTTTGTCAGCCGCTCTGAGACACCTTTGGGTTGTGAAGGGCGGGGTAGAAATCCAATCTCTTCTTCTTCTGGATGCAACAGGGGTCCGGCTCAGTACGAGGCCATTTTACCTGGAAACCAAGATTTTGCTTCACGGTTTCTGGTCTGACCTGTGGCGACTGGGAAGGTTCCACCTTGCCAGTTTGGTGAAGAAGGTGAAAAGGCAAACAGGTGGTTGTTTGTTTCAACTTCAGCTAGAGGAAACTTGCCAGAATCCAGGTTTTTTTGAAAAGTGTGGGCCATGCGGACAGCAAGTCCTACAGAGTTTGGCTCCCTCACATTTCTAGCCTTTGTTCTGCCATATCCTTTCACACAGTTGTTGTCTTGAGAGTTTCGTTGCTGACTTTTTTTCTTTTCTTTTTTTAAAAAAGGAGTCTGACCCACTGATCTTAATTTGCCGGGAAATGTTTTTGATCGAAAAGGGCGTTCTACCCTCGGGGCGTGCCCCGGGGGAGTCTCCCGCCCCCGCCCTGTTGGAACAAATGCCCTCCTGTGGTTCTTGGCCCGTTCCTGCCACCACAAGAGCCAGTGTGGTTCGAGTGTCAATCAGTGTCCCCCTTGCAACCAGCTTCCCCTGTAACTGTGCCTTCCGGGGAAGTTTTGGGTGGCGTCGATTTGCCAGCTCCGTAGAGGAGGAAGCTCAACTATGCTTCGGGATCTGGAAGAACGTTTCTCAAAGTTCTGGATTTTGGTGGCCCAAGAGGCCTGATCATGTTTCCAAAGCGGACACAGGGCATTAGGAATCCTCAGTGTCAGACTAAGACCTGGGAGACCCAGGTTCGAATCCCCACTCCGCCTTGGAAGCTTGCTGGGTGTCCTTGGGCCAGTCACACCCTCTCAGCCTAACCCGCCTCACAGGGTCGCTGTGGCAAAGGCAGAATGGAGAAGGGCGTGAGTTGCTTTGTGTCTCCCCACTCCGCCCTGGGTGTTTGTTGGGTGACCTTGGGTCAGTCACAGCCTCTCAGCCAAATCTGCCTTTCAGGGCTGTTGTGAGGATAAACTGGAGGACAGATCAAGATGAGCAGCCGTGTCAGTCCATCCGTAGCGGCAGAACAGAGCAAGAGGCCCCAGGAGCACAGAGACCAACAAGATTTGTGGCCGGGGAAGAGCTTTTGTGAGTCTTTAAAGTGCTCCTGGACTCTTCCTCTTTTCTACTGGAGGACAGATGAATAATGTGAGGAGGAGGAGGAGGAGAAGAAGAAGAAGAAGAAGAAGAAGAAGAAGAAGAGATTGGATTCATACCCCGCCCTTCGCTACCCAAAGGAGTCTCAGAGTGGCTTACAGACTCCTTTCCCTTCCCCTCCCCACCACAGGCACCCTGTGAGGTAAAAGAAGAAGAAGAGATTGGATTTATACCCCGCCCTTCACTACCCAAAGGAGTCTCAGAGCGGCTTACAAACTCCTTTCCCTTCCCCTCCCCACAACAGACACCCTGTGAGGTAGGTGGGGCTGAGAGAGCTCTGACAGAAACTGCCCTTTTTCAAGAACAGCTCTTATCAGAGCTAAGGCTTGTCCAAGGTCATCCAGCCAGGTGCAAGTGGAGGAGTGGGGAATCAAACCCGTTTCTCCTGGATTTGAGTCCGCGCACTTAACCACTACGCCAGACTGCTTGGTGTACACGACACCAAGCTGCTTTGGGGGCCCATGTGGGAGGAAAACAGGGGGTGTAAATGAAGTGAATAAGTTCTCTTGGCGCTCCCTCTGTTTGGGATGGGGGCTTTTTGTGGCGCTTATGCAGGAGAAGTCTGGCGCAGGATCCTTCCCCCCCACACACACACACTTGCGTCTTTGTTCCGCACTCACTTTTGTCTGCCTCTTTCCAATGACAAGTATCCTTTTGGCTTTTTTTAAAACGACTATATTTGGGCTGAGTTGATTGTGTCCCCTTATCTGCCTCTCTTTCTTCTCATCTCCTCAATACCGTCTCTTCTTCTTAAACAGTTGCTAAGGGAACCGGTTTTTAATAAATGCTGATGGAATGGGAGGAGGTTTTTCTTTCCCCGGCTATGGCTTTTGTTTTCTTTTTCTTTTTCGCCGGCCTTCAGGGTGTCGCCTGCAGAGCTGCGTGGGGATAAAAGCGAAACCCACAAAACGCAAGACTGCGTGGCCAGGATTTGAGGGTGGCTAGAACTTTACAGAGAGAAAAATCACAATTTTATCAGTTGCTTACACGTTTAAAAGTCAATTTAATGCACAGCGCACTTTAAATGCTAGTTCCTTCTCGTTTGTTTTTTTTGGGGGGAGCGGATTCCGATCTGGCCTAGATCCCAATCCTCCTTAATTTATTTTTGGAGTTTTCTAAAATTAATTCTGGATGGAGAGTATGAGCTGTTGGCTGCAGCTCTCGATTCCTTCTGTCTCTTTGTATCTTTCGCTCCTCTGTTCAACTGGCACGCGGCGAGAAAGCCGCAAAAGAGCAAACTCAACGTAGTTGAGCATATCGATTGCGATGAGATTCTTTTTTGGGGGGGGTGATGTCTGATTCATTTCTTTTATTTGTTATTATAAGTCAAATAACTTATAATAAGACTTGCCGATCACGCAGTCTAAGTCAATGCAGTCAACAAAATGGGACATCCAATAAGCTGTATCATTGGAGGAGGACTACGGAGATTAAAATGAAGGACAATACCTATCGCAACAGATAGAACGCACGATTTGTAGGGTTCCCAAATTCCGGATGGCATCTGGCAATCTCCTGCTATTACAGTTGAACTCCAGTGAGCCAGTTTGGTGTAGTGGTTAAGAGTGCGGACTCTAATCTGGGAGAACCCAGTTTGATCCCTCATTCCTCCACATGCAGCTGCTGGTGTGACCTTGGGTCAGTCACAAGTTCTCTCAGAGCTGTTCTCTCAAGAGGAGTCCTCAAAAGAGGTCTCTCAGCCCCACCTACCCCCCAGGGTGTCTGTTGTGGGGAGGGGAAGGGAAAGGAGTTTGTAAGCCGCTCTGAGACTCTGAGTGAAGGGCGGGGTATAAATCCAATCTCCTCCTCCTCCTCCTCTTCTTCTTCTTCGTCTTCATTTTCAAATGGAGAGTCCCAGGGATCTGTCCCACATGACTGCTGTGCCCACTACTCGTAGATATGTGGATGTTGCCTGGATCAGTTGGGCAGGAAAGGCACTCTGCACATGGTCAGAGAACTCTCCTCTTGACTGCTCCATCAGAGGTGCTAGGGGAGGGGAGGGATGCCCAGCCCAGCCCATAGAGGGAAGCAGGTTAGTTCTCCGCATGTTGAACACCTTTGGGCGCTCTGGAACTGCAGGCGTAATGGCTTGCCAGTTTGGGGTAGTGGTTAAGTGTGCGGACTCTAATCTGGGAGAACTGGGTTTGATTCCCCACTCCTCCACTTGCACCCGGCTGGATGACCTTGGGCAAGCCATAGTTCTGATAAGAGCTGTCCTTGAAAAAGAGCAGTTTCTGTCAAGAGCTCTCTCAGCCCCACCTCTCTCCCAGGGTGTCTGTGGTGGGGAGGGGAAAGGAGTTTGTCAGCTGCTCTGAGACTCCAAGTGAAGGGGCGGGGTATAAATCCAATCTCTTCCTCTTCTTCTTGCACACCTGAAGTGACAAGGACTCTGCTGGATCTGAACTGGGGCCATTCCAGTCCAGCATCCTGTTTCCCACATGTCCCAGGAAGGCCCTTGAACAAGGGCCCACAGATCCTATTTTTACCCCCTAGCAGTCAGGGGTAGACTACCTCTGAGTGTGGAGTTTCCGTTTAGCCATCCCACAATGGGGTGTTCCTGGGTGAATCCCTTTTTAAAGTGATCTCAAACAGTGGCCATTGTGGACTCCTGTGGCTATGAGTTCCGCATTATTGCAACAATTACGCTGTGTGCTAAAGCCGGGCCTGAGTGACATCGGTGGACGTCTCTTGCCAGGTTATGCTCACCAGAAGTGACCTGCTCTACTCCTCTGTTTCCTTCGCTTTCCTTTCTTGTTTATCCTGCACTGAATTTTCAGACTGCAGGTGCCTCTTGTACAGTGGTTGCCAACGCCCAGGTGGCGGCTGGAGACCTCCTGGGGTTACAACTGATCTCCAGGTGACGGCATTCCGTTCACTTGGAGAAAATGGCAACTTTGGAAGGTGGGGCTCTATGGCAATATTGAAGTCCCTCCCCTCCCTAAACCCCACCCTCCTCAGGCTCCACCCCCAAAATCTCCAGGTATTTCCCAACCTGGAGCTGGCAACCCTTTGTATGCTCTGATAGAACTGTGTATACTGGGGGTGTCAAACATGCGGCCCGGGAGCCAGATGAGCTCCTCTCAGGCCAGCTGCCTCCTGCTGCTGCTTCTGCTTCCAGTTCTGCTGCTGCTGCGTCATCGTATGTTTGCAGCTTAGAGATACACACCTGAACAGCATACTCAAGATTGCAACGGCACAGGCATTTTGATGCAATAATTCAGAGCAAGAGGTGTCCGTTATCAGACACTGCTAAATAAGCAAAATATACGTAATCAAGAGTGCTCATGTTTTAAGCATGATTTTATTTCAAGTAAAAAAACCAACCCTTTGTGGTTTTGCCCTTTATAAAGTTTATATCTCCGCTACCCGGCATTACATTTTATGACACACATGGCCCCCGTCTCATTTATGTCAGATCCGGCCCTCATAACAAATGAGTGTGACACCCCTGGTGTAAACGATATCCCCAATTCTCCCTCTTCCATTTTCAGCGTGAGGCAGAAGACTGTCCGGACTCCAGCGAGCACAAAACAGGACAGGATGAACCACCACCTTTCCTGGTTGTTGAACAGAAGGCGTGAGGTATGAAGATGCCTTGGTTTTTCTCTCTTCCTGAAATGGCTCCTATCGGTAAAGTGGGTAGCGAAAAATGAAGGGGTGGCCCCATGCGCAAGTGAACTGCTGCCCCCCAAGGGAGAGGTGTGAAGAAGAGATTGGCTTCACTACTCGAAGCAGCCCCAAACGGGCTCAGGGCGGATCACGACAAATCGAGTCAAAGACTCGTTACAATAAAATCACATTGAAATAATAAAAAACGATAAAATTGGTAGCGACGATATAAATTTGTAGGTCCACAAGGTGCGGATCAGGCACATTCATGGAGGGGGGGGGTTTGTCCGCCAATATCTATGATGGAGCTTCCCTGTTCAGTGGCAGCGTACCTCTGAATCGCAATGGCTGTGTGCCAGTTATGGAGAAGGGCCCCATATCCTGCTTGTAAGCCTTCCAGTGATATCTGGTTGGCCCCTCCGGGAAAGAGGATACCAGGCTTACTAGATGGACCTTTAGCGTGGACCAGACATAATCTTCACTTGGGGGGTTCTTTTACAGAGGACCCTATTAGAGGAACCGGCAGGACCAGACCAGATGACCCCTTTCTCCCTTATCCTTGCAACAACTCTGCGAGGTAGCTTGGGCCGAGGTCGAGTGTATGACAGGTCCAAACCTTGTGGCTAAGTGAGAATTTGGACTCAGAGCTCCCAGATCTTCAAACCCCAATTTATTTTATTTATTGGCTTCGTTTATAGCTCATGTTTCTCCCCAATGGGGACCCCATGTAGCTGACATACACCTCTCTGCTCCTCCATTTTATCCTCACAACGATAACCCTGTGAGGTAAAGCAGTTTGGTGTAGTGGTTAAGTGCGCGGACTCTAATCTGGGAGAACCGGGCTTGATTCCCCACTCCTCCACTTGTAGCTGCTGGATGACCTTGGGCCAGTCATAAGTCCTCTCAAAGCTGTTCTCTCACGGACATTTCTCTCAGAGCTCTCTCAGCCCCACCTACCTCACAGCGTGTTTGTTGTGGGGAGGGGAGGGGAAGGGAAGGGAGTTTGTAAGCCGCTCTCAGACTCCGAGTGAAGGGCGGGGTATAAACCCAACCTCCTCCTCTTCTTATTTATTTCTTTATTCAAATTTATAGCCCACCCTCCCCGCAACCAGGCTCAGGGCGGCTCACAAATAGGGTAACATATGCCAATAGTTAAAACAGTAAAAACAAGATAAAACCAACATTTACAACAACATAACGAGCTCTAGATGTTACAAAAGATGTTCTTCTTCTTGACTGCATGACTGGCAAGCTTCTATGGCAGAGTGTAGATTCGAACCTGGTTCTCCCAGATCCTAGTCCAGTGGTGGCGAACCTATGGCACGGGACGGGTGCCAGAGGCGGCACTCAGAGCCCTCTCTGTGGGCACGCGTGCCATCGCCCCAGCCAGGCCCAGACCATCATTAGAGTGTCGAATTCTCTGCCAAATAATTTTAAGTAAATGAAAGCATTTGGGACTGCTTTCCTTACTTTGTTTGGATCATCTTAAGTTAATGTGTGAGTTGTTTTTTCTAAAGTAAACCCTCAGTATTCAGGTTCAATTGTCATGTTGGCACTTTGCGATAAATAAGTGGGTTTTGGGTCGCAGTTTGGGCACTCGGTCTCTAAAAGGTTCGCCATCACTGGCCTAGTCCAGCACTCTGACCACTACACCATGCTGTGCACATGGAGAGACTCAGACGTTACAGGCCTGTCCGTGACCTTGCTCTCGTTATTTCCCCAGTGTCCCCGAGCCGCATTGCCTCCCCATCTGCCCGCCATGGAATAGGCCTCTTGTCGGAGGAAAGGACCCCGTGCTCCCAGCGCTGGAGGATGCGGGGTGTGTGACGGGCCGGGCTCCGCCGCCGTTGGCGAGGTGGGCGTGTTGCCCTGCCATGATGGGTGACGCCTCGACCTTGGATTATGAACTGCTGTCCCCAGGACGGTCAGAGCCCGGCCCCGGCGCCCTTGGGATGGACGCTGAGCAGAAGACGGTCTTTGCCTTTGTCATCTTCCTGCTGATCTTCTTGGTGGTGCTGATGGTCCGCTGCTTCCGGATCTTGCTGGACCCTTACAGCCGGATGCCGGCCTCTTCCTGGACTGACCACAAAGAGGGTCTGGAAAGGGGCCAGTTTGATTATGCTCTTGTGTAGTTTGGGGTCCAGTTGTGGTGCACTTTGGCCCGTTTGTGGGTGGGCGGTCTGTTTCGGGGGGGAGGGTACAGAATATGTGTGTGTGTGTGTGTGAGAGAGAGGGGCTACTTCTTCATCATTTTTTTCTGTGTATTGGGAGGGAGGGACGCCTCTGTTTTGTCGTGATCCCAAGTGTCTTGTGGTGTGGGGTCGCGCTGGGGTGGGAAAGTGCCGTAGGGCATGGTGAGAACATAGCACTGTTGTGGGGTGTGGTATTTTATTATTTTTTTGCTGGGGAGGGTTGACTCTAAACCACGAGGGTGGGAGAGCTAGAGGGTTGGAAGGACTGCAAGGGCCAGACAACTTTGTCATAAATGTGATCCCAAACTGATATTTCCCCAGGTGGTTTTGGCCTGGGCTCAGCTGGTCAACATGGAACTGGTTGGGGTTCAGGGTTTGCTCTCCAGTCCGTATTTTTGGACATGGGTGTTCTCTCTGTAACACGATCCCTGCTTTGCAGAGGCAATAGTCAATGAAGAGCTCAACAGTTATTCCGTGCATTCTCAGAGGTACTCCACCATTAACAGTGTTGCACAGTGGCTGAGAAACCGAGTTCGAATCGTACGCCAGCCACCAAGTCACTGGACGGCCTTACTGCAACTCGATTGTCTCCCAGCATCTTTGGGGCAACATGTTGTAAATACGATCTCAAAAATATACAGAGGGAGCTTTGAACACCCAATGAGAATACCCTTCAAATGGTGGGAAGAATAATAATGATTAATAGTCATTAAGACTATCAGTGATTATGATCACAATTAATCCTTCAACTCTGCCTAAACTCAGGCTAGAGCAGAACTAAATCTTGCTTTCAAGGCACCAGGGACTAAAACCAGTTATCTGCTCAGTCTTGCTTGGGTCACATGGCGAAGTGAGCTTGCAGTCAGACTGGCACAATCTTTGGAACACTGAGCTGATCTGGAATGTCACGAGCCATGATCCCGTGTGTCTGTGGATCCTGGATAGCAATTTCCCACTCACCAAGACAATTTCCGCTTGGAGGGAATTTCCATTTGGGCAATTTCTGTTTGGAGGGAAGCATCGATCCTCCTACCTCTTTGAATAAGCTATCCCTCAGAAGGGCAAGCCCTGGTATGAAATTCAACACACACACACACCCTGGTGGTACTCCCACTTAGCTCTCAGCAGAACTGCTCGGGAATAAGAGGGGATTCTCTCTGTTTCATCTGGTGTGGCAAACATAACATGCCATGCAGACTTGTGGCACCGCAACCGGCCGACATCGTGGCATCCGAGAAAGAAAGTGGGATGCCCTGTTGGCGGATCTACAGGTGTGTGTGTGTGTGACGACCCTATGAATTAACAACCTCCAGAACATCCTGTCATCGACCGCCTTGACAGCCCGGCTCAGGTCTTGCAAACTGAAGGCGGTGCCGGGGTGGAGGGGGAAGTCCAGTAGTGTCAGGGGCAGGGGTAGGTTTGCGGAGCAGCTTGATTGGTGTACGGGGAACACTGTTTTTCAGGGGCAGATTGGAGAGCCGAAGTGGGCTTCGGAGTAAGTCAAGCTGTGCCACGGGGCCCACTCAGTTGCCCGCTGCTTCCTCCCGTGTGGCTGGGGATCGGCCTGGCGTCCTTCTTGCTCGTAGGCCTCAAGGACAGCAGCCCGTCTGGGATCGCTAACTTTGTAGCGGCGCTGTGCTACTTCAACATTTCTAGGAGAAGGAGACTTGAGGTCCTGATCGGGACCACAGTTTACTTTCAAGGAGATGCTGTTAGGGCAGTTGCTGGTTTGTTACGGGTTACTCTCGGAGTGATGGGGTGGAGGCACCACAGATGGAGAATCCTGCTTCCCCAGCCTCTGAGCCAGCTGGCTAGTGTTTTCCCCTGAAACAATTACCCACGTATTCTCACCAGGTAGCTGCCACCATCACGTTACGCTCTGGGACAGAGACTATGGTTCACTTTCGTTCAGGTCTGATGGTGGTCTATGGGTTGCTTCAGCATGGGTCCCATCAGGACCACAATGTTCTTGATTGGGACTGTGGATTTCTTTTGCCTGGTGTTAAACCAGTGCGGCAGAGTCAGTATTATCTTTCAGTCCCATTTGTGAGCAGGTTACTCTGTTCTCATCTCGTATTTCAGGCTTCGCAACCCAACTGCTGCCTTGGACATTTGGCACCCCTGTTATTTCTATTTCCTCTGTTTCCACGTCGCTTTTGCCAGCAGAGGGTTTGCACACGGGATAAAGTGAGCCCTGGGCCGAGAAAGCCGATGCCACAAGAAATACATCATGTCACAAAACTCCTTATTTCTTTTTTCTTTTCCTCCGGAGGGGGAAATGATGTTTACAGGTTTGGACTGGGGGAAGGGAAGTCAGAAAATTGGGGTATTGGGGAGGGTTGCGGATGGCAGTTTATGGGGAAGCAAGCTAACCCCTCGCAAACAAGAGTTTGGTGGATTGACAGTCTCTCTCTCTCTCTGTCTCAGGAGCTCTCACTTCATGTGCCCTTGGTAGGCCTCAGCAGGGTTAGGGTGTATGGAAGACCAAGTGCAAAGGAAGACATCCAGAGTGCCTTTAACAGCCGTTTAAAAGATGAGATTTACAAATATCAGAAGGGTCCTGCTGGATCAGGTCAACGAGCTATCTAAGCGAGCATCCCATTTCCAACATTGACAACCAGATTGTCTCTGAGTGCAGAGAAGCAGGCACTGAATTCAAACTATTTACCTCCCCAGCACTTGATATTCAGTGGTAGAATAGGGGGGGGGGGGGGGGGGGAGGGGGGTCCACATCACTATCTGGTGATGTAACCAGAATTTTTGCGCTCCGCAAAATCACCTAGTTGGTGAAAAGGGAAGTTAGCGAGACGGAGTTCCACACACCCCATGGGAGGAGACTTGCTTCCTATCCTCCCCTCGTTTAGTTCGCTGAAGAACCCATCCCATCCTACAGCCAAAAAGGACCCGCATCCGCCTCGTCTAGTATCATCACAAGGAAACGGTTGCGCCCCCCCCCCGTTCCTGCCCTCTCGTTTGGTCACCACGCTAGCCCAGAATATTGTGTGTGGCACTGTGGTGGTGTTGTGTTTGTGGTACTGTTTGACAACTTGCAACCTTTCCTACTTGCTGGGGTTTTTTTCTGAGGCGGAGGAGGAGGGTGGAGAGCCTTGCGTGCCCTTGGCGTCCCTCAGAACTTAGTAGATCCCTCTCTGAGTTCCGCCAAAGGGCGCACAAAAGTGCCGGGGGGGTGGGGGGGTCCCAGACCGATGCAAAGGGTTGCTAAGCACACTGACTGTTGTGGGGTAAGGAGCCTGGCATTCTGACCATGACTCGCAGGGGGCTGCTTGCGTGAGGAGCAACTGTACTCCGTTCTCTTGGTCAGTTTAACGGTGGCAATTTGGATTGGTCGACTAGGCCATGCTTTGCTGGCGAGACTGGGCTAGGCCTGTCCTTGTGCTGGGGGGGGGGCAGAGGGGATGAGAACATGCACCCATCTGTCTGTAGGAAGAACACCAGCACCTCGTCCTTCTGAAATAAAGCTGCCTTTGTTGCTAATGTGCTGCTGCCGACTGTTTATTGCCATTCCTCTCCAGAAAAGCACTACATTCCCCTCAAGAGTTTTCTGGGCTCGTTTCAGGCGCGCTTGTATCTCTTGCGACTTTATCGTGGACGGTGTGGATTCCTCTACTGATCAGGCTGGCTGCGTGTGTTCCCGCGGCTGAAAGTGGGGTTGGGAGATTTGATCCTGGTAGGAATTCCCAGAATCATCCAAGCACAGCTAGAGGACCGTGGTGGAAAAGGTCATCTGAAACTGGGCTGGGGTCTGCCCTTGGGAAGCTTCAGTAAGATGGGTTGGACCTCACAGTGGGTGTTTCATAGAATGTTAGAGTTGGAAGGGACCTTTTAAATTAATTGGATAGGGCTATTGGGCCTGAAGGTGAACGGGAAGTCCAAAAAATGGCCTCCTCAATGGGCTGCCAATGGTGGCTTGGGAAATTCCTGAAGATCTGGGAGCACCACCTAGGGAGGGCCTTATTGCCAAATTCCAGGTAGTGTCTGGAGATCTCCTGGGATTACAACTGATCTCCAGGCAACAGAGATCAGTTCGCCTGGAGAAAAGGGCCACTTTGGAAGGTGGACTCTATGGCACTCCACCCCGTTGGAGTCCCTCCCTCCCCAAGCCCCGCCCTTCTCAGGCTCCACCCCCCAAAATCTCCAGGTACTTCCCAATCTGGAGCTGGCCACCCTACTTAGACTACATTATACACCATAGAGTCTGCCTTCTGAAGCAGGAGAACTGATCTTTATCATCTGAGATCTGCTGGAATCCCTGGAGAATGCCCACCCTCTGCCTGTAGGCTGGCAAACCTACTCCACCCAAACGGAACACAGTAATTGGGGACGTCTGTGCAGAAGTGCCCTTGGAATGAACTGGGTGCTGTGCAGGATTACAGTTTGTCGTCTGTTAGAACTTACTGTATTCCTTGTGTTGTTGTTCAGTCGCACAGTCGAGTCCGACTCTTCGCAACCCCATGGACAAGATCTCGCCAGGCCCTCCTGTCTTCCGCCGTCCTCTGAAGTTGGCTCAATTTCATGTTAGTTGCATCTATGACACTGTCTAACCATCTCATCCTTTGCCGTCCCCGTCTTCTTTGACCTTCAATCTTTCCCAGCATCAGGGGCTTCTCCAGTGAGTGCTCCCTTCTCATTTGGTGGCCAAAGTATTTGAGCTTCAGTTTCATTATCTGGCCTTCCAGGGCACAGTCAGGGTTGATTTCTTTGAGGATTGACTGATTTGATCTTCTTGCAGTCCAAGGGACTCTCAAGAGTCTTCTCCAGCACCATAGTTCAAAAGCATCTATTCTTCAGCGCTCGGCCTTCCTTATAGTCCAACTCTCACAGCCATACATGACTACTGGGAATACCATTGCTTTGACCATGCGGACTTTTGTTGGCAGGGTGATGTCTCTACTTTTTATCATGCTGTTTAGGTACACCATCGCTTTCCTCCCAAGGAGCAGGCGTCTTACCAACCCCTCCCCTTGTGCCCTTTTTTCTAACCCGAGTGGGGAGGACTGTGTCGTTTTTCGGAATGGGAAAAAAAAAAATGAAACGCTTAACCCAAAATAACTTTATTGCTGCCATCATCGGTGATACAAAACAAAACAAAAACAGAGAGCTGCACAAGTGGCCGGTTCTTGGTGTCAGTGCTGCGTGTGGCCGACCCTCCCACAAACAGGCTGCTTGTTCACCTAAGAAAAGTCATGGACCTGGTGCAGAGGAACAGAGGACCACACGTCTCCGTTCCCCACACACAACACACACTAACCCGTGCACACACACTCATCCACACACACCCGTGCACACACACACCCCTTGGCTAACTGATTAAGGTTATCGTTAATATTAATTATGAATAGGGGGGGGGGAGAAGCACCGTTTTGCCAAACCAAAACAAGAACACACACACAGAGAGACACACAAAATATTCCAAGCTACCAACTGGGTCATTAGGTTCTGTAGCTCCTTCCTGGAGGCACCACCTTTCCCCCCCCACTGTGCACAGCAATGGGGGATTTGGGGGGGCAGAAGTTTCAAGTCTTGGAGGAGCTCAAAGTTAAATGTTGTTGCTCAGCACCCTGATGGGCTGTGGGTGGGATAATTTCAGAGGCTGCTACCGTCCCATCTATCAGGGGGTGGGGTGGGCGGGGGAGAGATCTGTTCCCTTTGGCAGCACCTTAGATCCACACAGCCTTTAGAGAATATTTTTAACAGTGAAGACAGAAGCAATGTGTAGCAGTGAAGACAAATGCAAAGGTGAGGACAGATGCAACTTTTTAACCAGGGATGAGTGATAACGTTCCTTCCCCCCATATATTGCCATTAAAATTGTTTTCTTTTTACTCATTTCCACCACTGGCATTTTTAACTCACAAGTTTCTTTGCTGGCATTTTAATACTGTTTATACGGCATATGATAACATCTAGAAATTGCATCAATCTATCGGGATATTCAAGAGGTGGAAACAGAACAATGGCACGATTTTGAATTGACCAAGAGAGAAACAAAAAGGGATTTTGGAGCTGGAATGGCAAGGAGACATTCAATAGCATCCTTTAACTGTGGTAAAAGTGGTCTGCACACAGGCTTACCAAGTACTTACCTTGATTTGGCGGGGGACCTGTCAGGAACATTCCCATGCAGAAAACAAACGCGCTGCACCATGCCGTCGCCCAGACATGACGCCAGCACGCTAGGCACGTAGCTGGGCGACGCTCTGGCAATGGAGCTGGAAACTCAATGGTACCCAGCTACGTGCCCAGCGTGCTGGCGTCACATCTGGGTGACGGCATGGTGTGGCAGGGATGTGTTCAACCGAGGGATGTTCTAGCCGGGAACCATGTGTCCCCCGCCGATTCAAAAGTAGGTACTTGATAACCCTATCTGCACATGCCCTCAGTGCATAGTGAGGCTTTTACTAGGTGAGTTTAATCGCTAAAAGCCTTAGCTATGAATTGGAAAGTCCCTGGTTTGAATTTAATCAGGTGGCTACATACAAACCTTTGTCTCCACCTCAGGCTTCCCATCTGCAATATGGGAATAATAATAATGCAGTTCTACCTGGCAGGAGGTTGTAATGATTACAAGCTTAATGTAAGTGAAGTGCTTTGGACACTTGAAAGTGCTAAGTATTTTGTTTGTGTGTCTCTGGGGAGGGGTGTGTGTGCATTTAAATCTACTTTTACCACATTTAAAGGGTTTTTCTGCATTCTCATTTTCCTCACTTGTGTGTTCCTGTTGCTTTGGGACTGCCCCCCCCCGATCTGCATATGTTTTGCTCCCTCTAGTGGTCGATTCGGTATTACATTGCTTTATATCTGGCATATCTCCCTGCAGATTTAAACTGCAGGTTTTTATGCCAGACATAAAGTGGTGTTATATCGAATTGACCACTAGAGGGAGCAAAACATATGCAGATCGGGGGGGGGCAGTCCCAAAGCAACAGGAACACACAAGCGAGGAAAATGGGGATACGGGAAAGCCCAAAGTGTCTTCACCACCACTCCCATTATTGTCTGCAAAAGATTTTAATGCTCACCGGCATACTATTAGCCCTTTAGAAGACGGAGGAACATTCAGTGTCACCCAACCCCGCAAAATGTATCAAATGCTTAATGTCTGAAGCTGAAAGGCGTTTCCGATTTTAAAAAAGACCCTCCAAAACCTTGAAGTCTGGTGGATTCAAATAGGTGAAGCAAACTTAAAAACAACTCGGTGATTTTTGTGCACCCTGTCTCTCTCCCTAAAACCCTATAAAGCCGATAGCAGCCATGTCTGGAAATGTTATACGGGAGTGGGGGGGTGGGGTGGGGAGCCTAAATTCAAATCAGGAGAAATGTATAGATAGCACCGCTCCTCCCAATTTTGTCGAGGCCAGGAAAGGACGGCAATGAGCTGAGAGGGGATTCCTGGAGAAGGAGGAATTTATCCTGACCCTGAGAAGGAAGAATCCTCCAGTGACGCAATAACTATCCAGCCTCGCAATAGCTATCCAAACTGGTTGCCATACTGCCCGTCCAAAGTGCAACGGGCAGGGAGTTCTTCTGAGGTTGTCAGTATTGAACGGGAAAGATCGGGGGCCCTCTTGGAGCCATTACCAAGCCTGGCTGGAGGCCAAAAAGCAAAACAGAACAACACACTGTGAAATGCCACAACAGCCCCTGGGAGGCCAATGGAAGTACTCGTTCCTAGATTAGGCCAGTACAGAGAATCACACGACACAGGTGTGTTCACGGGCGAGGCTTAAAGCAGATGTCCACAGGCAAGGCTTTAAATGGGTGTGCTCGTGCCAACAGGTGAGGCTTAAAATGGCTCTCTTCCCCAGCTGGGATTCTATGATGCCGCCTCGGCCAAGATGCGCATTAGCATGACAAATTCCTCTCCTCCTCTGCTTTCCCTTCCACATTTAACAACAAGATGACGCTAACATCAGTAGCATCAGAGAGGAGCTGTTGTGTGTGAGAAACAGCCCAATGTGTGAAAATTACAAAGTGGGAGATCAATTCCTTCCATTCATCCATTTCCTCCACCCACATTACTGATGGCCAGTACACATCTGTAAAACCCCACACAGAAAAGAACTGTGATGCAACTGCATGGACGATCACATAGAGATTCCTTTTTTTTTAGTGCCGTACTGGAAGACTCTTGAGAAAATCCCACCCCTGCCCACTTTGGAGCATGCATTCTACCAATGCACAAGTGCACATTAATAATGCACATGGTAAAGGGGATGAATGGAAAGAAGAGTGCGGCTTGTCATGCGCACGCTGCGTGAAATTTGTAAATTAAAAAAAACCCACACCCACAAACCAAAAAAACCCACCAACCATGGAAGATTTTGAATGGCTTGGTTCAAGTTTGGCGAGGTCAGGTAAACTGGAGAATTCAAGATCCAGGAAGACACTTAGGTGAGGAGAATTCTTGAATCCTCCCTGGTTTGAAACCGGGGCAAGAGAAACAGGCTGAGAAGGATGCTCCTAGGAAGACGGGGTTACTTGCGCCGCTTCTTCCTCTGGCCTTCTCCAGACTTTCTTGTTCAGAGGAACATGGCAAATAGCAGAGGACAAGTGCCGTGGACTGGGAGAGACTCCTCGACTGGAAGAAATGGTTTTGGAGAACAGAGTCGATTTGGTTCTGACTCTAGGGCTGTTCTAAATTTGGTCCCCCATGGCAAGCCTGTGGGCTAGGGGACGGGAAACGGCGGAGGGAGGAGATGCCGATTTCCGGGGAGTGGGGACAGGATGGTGTGGGGCGGTGTGCAGCCTGAGCCCTTGGTTTTGTTGGCGTCTCTTGGGGGGGGGGGAGTTAGAAGAGGTGGAGGTGCAACCTCATCTTGAGCACCTGGCCCAGCTCCCCAGCGAGGTAGTCGAGATCTTTCAGGGCCTCCAGTTTCTGCAGTTCCCGTTTGCGGTACAGCGGCATGCTGACAATCTCCAAGAGGTAGGTACCGGGAGAGGCCTGCTTGTGAGTCAGGTGCAGATAGCTGAGCCCTTCCTTCTGATGGATGTGGAAGAAGCCATCCTCGTTCCCCCGGGAGATGACGTAGCGAACACGGTTCTCCAGGGAAGCCACGGCAGGGAGAAGTTCCAGGATATGCTCCTTTCTCCTGAGATCGGACAGGTTCAGTGCTATGGCCAAGGGCGTCTCCACGTCTATGCTGGCCAAGCTGACACCTGGCTCCTGTTTGCAGGGGGGAGAAAAGAGCTCAGGGCAAGGAGAGGGAGGGATGCAGCCTGAAAGCACCAGCAATGCTCAACTCCCACCCCTAAAACGGTCAGAAATGCCAAGTTCAGGGGTTCCCAACCTTTTTGAACCCGTGACCAGATTTGGAATTGTGACACAGGATGGTGGGTGCAACCACAAAATGGCTGCTACAGGAGGTGGAGCCAGACACGGAGGAATCCCAAGCACAGGGAAAGGGAGGGATTTAAAAAATACACTAGGAAAGAGGAGCAAGAGAGAATAAAGCCAACAGCGTGGTCGCAGCTGCCCCTGAAACAAATGTTATTTTAATCAGCCCAGCCAATCGGATATATATCCAGTGGCCAATCAAAAGCCCTGCTAGGCAAGTGCCCGAGTTGGCCCCATCCACTCTCTAAAAATACTTGGTGGGGGACAGCAGGTTCCGTGGTGCCCAAGAAGGTTAGTCAAGAATGGAAGAGGGCCAACTCTAAAAATCTAATTATGAAACATACAAAAATATACATGTATTTATTCAACACAAATTAAAATAACAAACAAGGGCCCATTCCTACCTCATATACAAATATAAAAACATACAAGGGCTAATGAAATAGACTTAACGCGTTTCGGCCTTTGCAGGCCTTCCTCAGAGGTCTAATATAAACAGAACATGTTGGCTGATATGTAAAAATATACAATCATACATATACAAAATAAGGAATAAAGACCAGAAAACAATTGTTTCAAAGTTTAACCACTGGGCAAAAAAAA